CCCTCCCTCTCTCTCTCTCTCTCTCTCTCTCTCTCTGCTTGCTGGCTTCTGATTTATTGTGGCCAGCTGCTTCAACCTCCCGCTGCCAGATATGAGCCAGAACAAACTCATTTTCTTGTAAGTTGTTTTTACCACAGTAAAAAGAACAGAATGAAGTCAAATTGTCGTGTACATTTATTGAATGATTTTTGTGCATCATGTGCACACACCCCTAACTTATATGTGAAGTTGGGGGCAGTGACTAATGTACCAGAGTGGAAGAGAATGCACATTTGTTCATTAAAGAGGTATTTACTGAGTCCTACAAATATTCATGGACTCTTGGTGCTTTTCTTGATATACGATTCTTTCAAAAGTTACCACAACAACAACAAAAGAGGTAATAAAAGTGGCTTAAAGTCAACAAAAAATTTGGAACAGAAGTCTTAAAAGGTGATTAAGCTGAGAAGTTGTTATCTATAGGGCAGTGAAGTTAAAGGCATGCTAAGGTGTCACAGGTAACAGTGGAGAGGTCTTCTTTGAAGAGAAGCCAGGATTTCTGAACCTTTGAAATCAAAGAGCTAGTAGGCTCTGGTAATTTGTGGGGTCTAGTGAGGTGTTTGGCCAACAAATGTACGATGCTGGAAAAACTTTGTTCTTTCATCATGTATTTGACTTGTATTTTTTCTCTCATCTTGTATATGACTTGTATTTGTAATGTGACCTTTCTTGCAAGAGAGTTTTCCTAACCAGTTGACTCATTGTGTAATGGAGTCAAGAGAACTACCTTTCAGGATTACGGTGCAGGGATACAGATAAGTACGTGCATTTACTCAACAAGCAGTAGCTTTGTTATTGGGCCAGTGTGGTGCCTATGGGAAGTAAACAATTTGATTACCAACACAAATGCAAGTCTTTTCCGTGTGCCCATTTGCTAATGGACCCTAAATCAAAAGTTAAAACAGGTCAAGGAGTATTCACTCACAGCCTACTTTTGCTGTGGAGTGCTGGAGTAAGTAAATAAGTGACCACAGAATCACTCCTGAGGCTCTGCATGACTCTCTGCAGCTGACTCAACAGACCAGGTAGCACTAAACTTCCAGCTTCCAAAGCCACCCACCCGCTTCCTGGCGACTGCCCCGCCCCCTTTCCGGCCCTGGACCCGCCTCTTCCCTCCTATTGGTTGGCTTGCATCTCCGCTCGACCGTCACGAAAACCCGGACAAGCGGAATGATCCTCAGGAGCGCTCGATGGGAGCTCGCTGCGCATGCTCGAGGGCAGCTGGATTCCGGGTCCGGACTAGAGGCTCGGAGCGGCCCCGGCGGGGAGGCGCGCCTGTGCGCGGCACGGGCGTCGCGAACACGCCGCGCGTCCACGAGAAAGGGAGGTGTGGGCCCGGATGGGGTGGGGT